CAAGGTTCCCGGCGGGCATGCGCGGGCCGAGGCCCACCCCCGCAATGGCGCGCGGGAGATCCGGGGCGGGCGCCGGGAGCGGGGCTGTGGCCTCAGCTGACTGGCCCTGTGATTGGGTGTCCTTGGGAGCCTGCGGCCCCGCCTCTCACACTCCGATCCCGCCTCCTTGCCTTACTCCGTCCCCAGAGCGGGCGTCGCCTCAAGTTGCCTGGGGTCCCCCAGCCCACCAAGTAATACCTTTAAATGTAGTAAGCGAAGGTCAAAAGTAGAAGGCTCATGGCAAGGTGGGATTCGAGAGCTCTCGAGCCCCAAAAGTAGGGGATCGGGAATATAGCACTCCTCCCGAATGACTGTATGCCCACTCACAACCGTCATCGTCTCCACGTGGAGAAGATGCAGCCCTGGAAAGGGTTTAGGCGCTGGGATGAAGTGGGCCCAGCCCCTATCCCAGAAAGTTAGGGTGAGGGCCTACAGGAGGGTGGGATGGAGCAGGCTAAGTACCCTGAACTGCAACCAAGGACTAGATAGGATGTAGGATGTTCTTTCCCGTACAGTATATGGTTCCCAACGGGAGCCTTTATATCACCCCCACTACCTACAAACAGTTGACAAATATTTATTAAGCACCTGCTATATGCCAGGCACTGCAGGTGCTGGTATGGGGAGCACCAAGGGCCATTCCAGCTGATGACTCCTTGCATTCTCAACCTTCCCTCCCCAAACAGGGATGAAGCGCCACTCTCCTAGGCACTGCTATCTCTATTTAAGAACCCCAAATAATAAAGATAATAAATGATATAAATGATATAAAGTGTTACCTTCTTTTGGAGGGTTTGAAGAGTGCAATGGAAAAAATACGGGAGTACTGCATTGTCTTCAAAAATTTGTGTCCCAAATTCAATATTTGGATGGAGATTTTCAGTGTAGTTTAAAAGCAAGAATAAGATTTGGGGGTCCTATGTTAATTTAGGGTATCATCTAAAAGCAAGAGGCCAGTAGCCCAAGTAGAATCCACACACTACACCCTTTGTCCATCTTCCAAGAGCATTTAGTTATAGCCAGTTAGGAGACTCCCAAGGGCTCAAGTTAGGTAGAAGAAGACAGAGACCATCTCAAACTTAATCCATCTTTCAGCAATGCAGCTACACCTCTTGCATGGTGGCAATGGGCCTGAGACATGAAGGCATGGGGCGTTTTGAAAGCTGACACAAGCATACCTCATTTTATTGTGCTTCACTTTGTTGCACTTTGAAGATCTGTTTTTATTAACATTGAAGCAAAGACCCTCTACCAACAAAAAGCTTATGACTCACTGAAGGCTCAGATGATGGTTAGCATTTCTTATAAAGTATTTTTTAATTAGAGTATGTTCATTGTTTTTAAGACAATGCTATTGAACTCTTAATCAACTACAGTATAGTTGTAAACACACACTGGGAAACCAAAACATCTGTGTGACTCACTTTATTGTGATAATCACTTTATTGTGGTGGTCTAGAACCAAACCCAAGATACCTCTGAAGCATGCCTTGTATTAACTACCATTTACTGAGCATTCACTATGCCAAATGCTTTATCACATTCAATCCTCACATCAACTATTAGGTCTACGAAAACTATTAGGTCCATTTTACTCTTAGAAACTGAGGTACGGATTTTATTTGGGGAAGATTGCAAGGTTTTAAGTCGCAGAGCCAGAGCTCTTTATCACATTTCACGTTTGAAGTCGCTCAGCTGTACACCCCCTACTACGACAGGTTTCCATTTAGAGGTCCCAAATGTCTGTCGTCCTTCTGCCTTGGTGCCTGCCAGCCTGATCAACATGGACAGATCAAAGACCAAGCCAGGGAGTTAGCCCTCTCCCTTTTTTATTTCTATATCCTTCATTCATGACCAGAGGAAAGTTTTCTGACCCACGTCTCACAAATGCATCTCTTGTCCACTGAACAGAGCAAGCACCTAGAGGGTAGAGATCACTATTCAACACACTTATTGAACACTCGCTGTGTTGAACACAGTTTGAGGGCCTGACATCCCTGGATCTGAGTCCTGCTTCCTACTGGAACCATGCCTAGCTCAGTCCCAATAAAGCAGGAAAGCTGGGAAGCAGGGGAGGGCTGAATCCTATGTCAGGGTACAACTTAGGGAGAGGAGAGACCTGGGGGTGAGGGTTCTGAGGAGTGAAACCACTTCCTGTGCAGCTAGTTCCTGTGTTGACAGAGCTGAAGGGGAGGAGGGTATAGAGGGAACAGAGTGGGGGTCGGGGGCTACTGAGGCTCTGGAGATGAGAAGGTGAGAGTTCTTGCCCACCTAGGAACTCCTCCACTGCTGCTGGAGGAGCTTTTCCCAGTCTCTCTGCTCCCCTGGGGCTAGAGGTTGAGCAAGCAGTTTGGGTGGGAAAACAGAACTGGAGGAAGTTGACAGGGATGGGCGGGGCCATGGGGGGGCTGACCAGGAACCCAGCTTCCTGCTTAGTACCCAGACATCCAGCCCCCGGC